TGGATTGATTCAGTGACTGGAGTAATGGGGGTAGGTGTGTCAGAGACAATAAGATTGGCACAGGATTGAGCAGGGTCCCTATGAGTCACAGGTGACTCGATGGCACATAATAACATGGCACATAATAATAACAACGAGTAAGAGATATAGGAGTGTCCAAAAGAGGAAGGGAAGAAGGCAAAGGAGGTGGAAAAAGGAGAAGGGTGGAAATCACTAGGATAACACATTCCAGTGGGTGCACTGGGGAAGGGGAAGCGAATGGAAAAGAGTCAATTGGGACTTTAAAAGATGGTATAATAATAGGCATAGATCAATGGTAATTAATTATATAGGTTACACGGTATATGAATGATTAAATGGAACACAATGTATATGAATGAAACACAATGTAAATGAATTATTATATGAAAACCAATGAAAAAAGAAAAGAAAAAAATTCAATAGGAATATTAACGATAACAGTTTTCTACAATACATATGATATAGCCCATTGTACACCAGAAATAAGTTTTAAAAAAATAAATATTAAGTCAAAAAGGCAAGTTGTAGAAGATGTAGAGTGTGACATAGTTTATGTAGTTCTAAGATGTGTAAAGAAGGAAGTTCTGGAGCCATATTTCATGGTAAGTTATGCTGTTAACCCAAAGGCTGCATGTCTCTCTGGCAGTTCAAATCCACCAGTGGCTACATGGGAGAAAGATAGACAGTCTCCTCTTATTGAGATTTACATCCTCAGAAACCCAATGGAGGATTACTATGACTCATAACCAATTTGACAGAAGTGAGTTTGAGATTTTTGAAGATGTGCAAGAAGAACATGTGTTATTTAAAACTACTACCTGAAAGGTTGGAAATCTGAATCCACCTAGAAGCTTATCAGAATACAGGCAGGGTGATCTGCTTCTAAAAGGTCACACAGCCTTGAAAACGTCACGGTTCTACTCTGAACACATAGATACACAAGGAATCAGAATCAACTAACCACAACAAGTATGTACTAAATATATGTACTAAAAATATAAAAACATACAAGAGAATAAAAAACATCAGATTCAGAATAGTGCTTGTTGTTAAGTGCCGTCGAGTCAGAACTGACCCATAGCTGACTCTACAGCAGATTTTCAGAGGCAGTTAATCACAAGGTAGAAGAATGCCCATCTTTTTCCTGGGAAGCAGCTGGCAGATTTGAACCAAGTACTTTCTGGATTGCAGCATAGGTTCTTACCACTAGGCCACCAAAGCTCTGTGAATAGTGCTTAGCTCTGGAAAACGGGAAGGAATTGGTAAGGAATACATGAACGCCTTCAAGTATATCTTTGCTTTATCTTTTCTTAAGAAATTGTGGAAAATGCTAAGACAATATTAAGATGGCTGGCTGAGAACAAAGGTGGTTGTAATCTTATTTTCCATAATACTTTTGCATATTAGTAATATTTCGTAATAATAATCATAAAAAGAACTTGGTTTGAACTAACCACAAGATAATATTGGATATTAAAATAGTGAAAGAAAATGGTTTTATAGCTCTAGTTGTATATTTAAATTTAAAGCCTTGTATGGGCTTTAAAATTATTAAATTTTATAATTAATAGTAACATTGGTCTAGTGATAAAAAGCTGTGCTGCAATACCAATGCCATGTATTTCAAAACCACCAGCTACTCTTTAGGAGAAGAATGGACAGTCTCCTCCTGTGTCTGTCTCTGAAAATCCACTGAAGGTTCAGCTATGGGTCAGTTCTGACTCGATGGCACAGAACACAATTATAAAACACAATGCATATGCATGATTGTATGAAAACCAAGAAAAAAAATTCTGGGATGATAAGAAAGTGAGATTTTATTTTTATATTTATAAATTAGAAAAAAAAAATAAATTCTCCTAGAGCTTGGAGTGACATGATAATGAAGAGTTTCCTATTCCACTACATCCATGAATGTGAAATTATGATCTGATTAATAATACAAGAGGACGTTATAATTTTACTTAGCCACGTTTGGCAATTTCATAAGATTTGGAGAACCAATGTTTGTTACTGCTACTCAGCTACCAGCATCATAAGCCATATAAAGCCATAAAGAACATTCTGAAAAGAAAGCTCATCTGGAAAACTCAACTCACAACCAGGCAATTTTTTATTTACTAATAATTCGAGGGCACAATGGCTACTGGGGCTATGAATATTTACTTAATTATCAGAAGTTAGTATTTCTTCCATTTAGGATTGTAAATGGATACGAACTTAAGCTTTATAAAGATTTCTTTAAAATGTCAAGGGTACTTTTAACCCATTGCCATCAAGTCTGCTTCAACTCAGAGAACCTCCATTAGGTTTCCAAGGTTGTAAATCTTTATTGGAGGAGACTGCTCATCTTTCTCCTGAACAGTGCCTGCTGGATTCAAACTGTTAACATATCAGTTAGGAGTCCGATATGTTATGTACTACACTGCTACTGGGGATCCTTTACTGGTAGCTTATTTAAAAAAACAATTTATAGTTGAGTCAGAACTTATGACCTTCTTGCAGGTTTTGAGATCATAATGTGGGAGTTATTTGCTCACCTTTCTCCATCAGAACTGTTGGATTTGTGTCTGCAGAAAAGCTCAGCCTTTGGTTCTGTAGCACAAATCCCTATAGAATATGCCAAGTGCATCACAGGGAATATACTACTTATGCAGAGAATTAATAGTTAAGGTCAAGGACAAACATAATCACTATCTTTGGTATAATCAAAACTGTTTTTTTTTTAAGTATTGCTTTGCGTGGAGGGAAACAAAAATGAAAATAACCCATTTTTTAATGTATTTGGCCTATACCTTGCTTGGCTCTCCTGGATTATATGAAGAAAACATGGGAATTTTTCGGATCTCTTCCTCTGACAAACGATTTCTTTGGATCTCATCTTCTGGGACAAATTCTATTTGTTGTGTCAGCTTCTTAGACTCAGTCCAACTCTGCTGAGATGAAAAATCAGTAACTTTTGCCGCATGGAGACTGGGGCCTTTACCCTGTGCTGCCTGTTTCCTCTTGCCTTGAAGTAATGACGGGTGCTCAGCTGTTTCACTACCTCCCACTGTCGTGGCTGACACCACTGAGTGGGAGGCAAAGGGTTCACCTCTCATAAGTTGGAACTCTTCAAGACGTTTTTTCATTATCATCTCTTGGTAAAAATTTTCCAGGTTGTTCATAGGATCACCTTTGTTCTTCTTGTGGGGATCATCTGGATCAAGACAAAGAGATAGGAAAGTTCCACAAAACCTACCAATACAACCATTGATCAATTAATAAACTCAATCTTTTATTTCATATACAGAAAGTTGGCTAGGGTAAGGTCTTTACAACCTGTGATAAAGGAGAATACTATTTAGCTGGGGCTATGATTAGGCAGGTAGAGCACTTGGCATATAAAATTTAAGGAGGCACTCATTCTAAGAGCCATGGAAACTTAACTGATAAGGACATTGAAAATCTATAACCAGTATGACATTCTCATAGTTCATAAAATCACTAATAGCTCCTTCTTGTTGTGTGTCACTGAGTCAGATCCAACTCAAAGCTGACCCTCCAGTGAGTTTTCAGAGGCAGTAACTGCATGGGAGTAGAATGCCTATCCTTCTTCAGGGAAGTTGGTGGATTTGAACCACATGCTTTCAGGACTGCAGCACAGATTATTACCACTAGGCCACCAGAACTCCCAATAATAGCTTCTTAGCATCATCTATTGCTGTTGTTAGGGGCTGTCAAGTAAACTACAACTCAAAGACCCTATGAACAATGGATATGAATCTTGTACTATACTGTGCCATCTTCATCATCTCTGATATGCTCAAGCCCATTGTTACAGTCATGATGTCAATGCATCTCTTTAGGGGTCTTCCTCTCTTTTGCTGACCTTTTCAAGCATTATGTCCTTTTCCAATCAACTAATACCAAGTTAAAATTTAACTTTATCTCATAGATATCTTTTTACAGTTAATTGTTCAGTTGAAGATCTAAACCTTCTTCTGACTGTTATTGTCACTTAAGTTTCTTTTACCTGAAAAGTGTCCCTTCCTTCCAGCAACAGTAGTCTGTTTTCCTTCCATAACACTGATTTAGTAGCAAAACCTGGTTGTTTACAGAACAATGTTGTTTTTGTTGTATGACATCACATTGGAACCAACCCATAGCTGACCCTCCAGTGGGTTCTCAGAGGCTATAAATTACACAAGAGGGGAATACCCATCTTTCTAAGAGTAGTAGCTGGTGGATTTAAATCATGAGCCTTTGAGCTAGCAGTGCAAGTCATTACCAGGTGCTAAGCCATCATACAGATGTGGTAAATTATCAACAGCTGTGGGACTAGGATAAGAGAAAGAGTGCTTCTCACACTGAGCAGCAAGACTTGAGGAGATAATGACTTGAGGTAGACTGGATCAAGACCCTGTTGGAGTGAGACCCCGGTGATGGTGGTGGAGGGGTTGTGGCATTGCTGTGGAAAACTGCAAGGTGTGACCTCAGGCTTCTTTCCTTCATGTTGGCCACAGTTAACAGTTTTGCTATTCTTGCCAGATGCTTGAAGGAGAAGCTGACTTTTAACTGCTCTGAGACAAACCTTGCTGGATGAATGAGGAAACCAGAGGTTTCTTGAATTAGTGTTGCTGAACTAAAACCAGAGCCTGGATTAATTGAGAAATTGTGCCTTGGAAATGTTGGGCTAGAACCTAGACTTGTAGAGGGTGATATTCTTTGCCTCCCCCACACTCCAACTTCCTGCCTTAATAAACACTGTTGTTGGTACTACAACTGTGAGTCTGTGAGTAAGCAACAAGTAATTGAACCTCGTTTTGTTGTGGTTCTAGAGGCACTAATGGACTAGGCTACAGGTTCTTTATCTGCTTTCTGCTCTGGGGCAGTGAGGGGCTGTACTATTCTCATTCCCTCTAGCCCTTTCAGAGAGATGATCACAGCACTGTTAGCCTCAGTATCATTTTCGGTTCTTAAGACAACTATATTTCCTATAAACTAGAAATTAAATCTAGAGTTGTGCATGCAACTCTAGATTTAGCAGGTATTAAACTCTGCCTGTTTAATTAAAAAAAAAATCAGCTCCTGAGTCCTACTAGTTCCCCTTCAAGTACTCAAATGTCACCATGAGGCTAGAGGACAGCATATTGCATAGAGCAGATAAAAATCATTGGCATCACTGCACAAAGTCAAACTGGATGGTGCTAATTTAGAGATTTGATTAGATTCCGGCTTAGATTTATTTTAGGCACAAAATGGTGCTATGTACTTACAGTTGTCTTATATCATAAGGTATATAATATTTAGTAGTTCCATTTTTAGTGACACTAAAATTGATAAGTGGATTTAGGCAGTTTTAATCTGATCCCTCCATTACAAAATTCTCTCATTTATCTTTTACTTATGGGCTTTTGCACCCACTGATGACCATGACCTAAATCTATTATTTTATGATGTGTTGTAAAATGATGCTCTCCTAGTTCTATTATGTCACTTTAATGTGTTAGTTAGAATTATATATTGAAATTACCATAGTTAACTATTATTTCCCTAAAGAGAGTTCATAGAGAAAAGGCAGGAAAATGATTGCTTTTCTCCTAGTATTTACCAATTATTAGAGTAATGAGCTGGTAATGTAGACATATGTAATGAGAACCAAATATTGGTATCATTGGGAAATCACTTATTTTTGTATTTTGTATTTAAATTAAACGCAGTTCTCATTAATTGATTTATGCCTTCACCCCCACCTCTTACCCAAATTTGTGTCAACATGGCTGGGCCATGATTCTCAGTGGCCTGGCAAACTCCTCAAGATGTAATCTAATGTGATCAGCCTTGATCTAAGGTAAGGAGATTAGGGTGGGATACAATACTCTTAATTAGATCACAGCCCTTAATGGATGTATGATTTGTTTCCCTGGAGTGTGTCCCGAATCACATCGCTTTCTAGCTTATAAGAGAGAAAAGGAAAGAGAAGCAGTAAATCATATGGGAGGAGACTGCCTATCCTTCTCCTGTGGACAAGATGGTGGCCTCAAACCCAGTGTCTTCAGGATTGCAGTGCAGCTTCTTGCCACTAGGCCACCAGAGCTCAGTATCTCTGTCATAGTAGCACTAAATATCTAAGATAGTAGTAATGATTCTTACTGATGATCAAATGTTCCCCCTAAACCTATAATATTTATCCAAGTATCCTAGGTTTCTTTCAGTGGGAAATGATACTTAGAAACCACAGAGTGTTGCTAGAAGTGTCTACTGCCTTTAAGTTGTTGTTTTCAAGCCTTTTTTGGTAGGCAAATGTTTTTGTTGTTGTTAGGTGCCTTCAAGTTGAGTCTCACTCATAGCTACCCTATGAACAAAACATCTAAACCCTCTTTTATCCTGTGCCATGTTCACACTTCCTGACACACAAGAGCCCACTGCAGCAATCACTATGTCAATCCACCTG